ATCCCCAGTACATACATCTAACCAGAGTTATTTTTTTCCAGTACTTACTGTATATACAATAACAACGTCCAGAAACATACATAGCTTATTTTATCTTTAGGATAAGTGGTCCTCTGTAGCTCAGCTGGTAGAGCACGGCGCTTGTAACGCCAAGGTAGTGGGTTCGATCCCCGGGACCACCCATACACAAAAATGTATGCACGCATGACTGTAAGTCGCTTTGGATAAAAGCGTCTGCTAAATGGCATATTATTATTATTATTTTATATTTATTTTCTACAGGATTGATCCCATACTCTGCTTCACTGATGTGGCATTAGGCCAATGATTGGGTGACATTTTAAACTACAGATGTACAGTCGTGGTCAAAAGTTTTGAGAATGACACAAGTATTGGTCTTCACAAAGTTTTGCTGCTTCAGTGTTTTTAGATATTTTTGTCAGATGTTACTATGGTATACTGAAGTATAATTACAAGCATTCCATAAGTGTCAAAGGCTTTTATTGACAATTACATTAAGTTTATGCAAAGAGGCAATATTTGCGGTGTTGACCCTTATTTTTCAAGACCTCTGCAATCCGCCCTGGCATGCTGTCAATTAAGTTCTGGGCCACATCCTGACTGATGGCAGCCCATTCTTGCATAATCAATGCTTGGAGTTTGTCAGAATTTGTGGGTTTTTGTTTGTCCACCCGCCTCTTGAGGATTGACCACAAGTTCTCAATGGGATTAAGGTCTGGGGAGTTTCCTGGCCATGGACCCAAAATGTCTATGTTTTGTTCCCCGAGCCACTTTTGCCTTATGGCAAGGTGCTTCATCATGCAGGAAAAAACATTGTTCATCACCAAACTGTTCTTGGATGGTTGGAAGAAGTTGCTCTCGGAGGATGGTATTGGTACCATTCTTTATTCATGGCTGTGTTCTTAGGCAAAATTGTGAGTGAGCCCACTCCCTTGGCTGAGAAGCAACCCCACACATGAATGGTCTCAGGATGCTTTACTGTTGGCATGACACAGGACTGATGGTAGCGCTCACCTTGTCTTCTCCGGGCAAGCTTTTTTCCGGATGCCCCAAACAATCGGAAAGGGGATTCATCAGAGAAAATGACTTTACCCCAGTCCTCAGCAGTCCAATCCCTGTACCTTTTGCAGAATATCAGTCTGTCCCTGATGTTTTTCCTTGAGAGAAGTGGCTTCCTCACTGCCCTTCTTGACACCAGGCCATCCTCCAAAAGTCTTCGCCTCACTGTGCGTGCAGATGCACTCACACCTGCCTGCTGCCATTCCTGAACAAGCTCTGCACTGGTGGTGCCCCGATCCCGCAGCTGAATCAACTTTAGGAGACGGTCCTGGTGCTTGCTGGACTTTCTTGGGCGGCTGAAGCCTTCTTCACAACAATTGAACCTCTCTCCTTGAAGTTCTTGATGATCCGATAAATGGTTGATTTAGGTGCAATCTTACTAGCAGCAATATCCTTGCCTGTGAAGCCCTTTTTGTGCAAAGCAATGATGATGGCACGTGTTTTCTTGCAGGTAACCATGGTTAACAGAGGAAGAACAATGATTTTAAGCTTCCAATCTGTTATTCTAACTCAATCAGCATGACAGAGTGATCTCCAACCTTGTCCTTGTCAACACTCTCACCTGTGTTAACGAGATAATCACTGACATGATGTCAGCTGGTCCTTTTGTGGCAGGGCTGAAATGCAGTGGAAATGTTTTTGGGGGATTAAGTTCATTTTCATGGCAAAGAGGGATTTGCAATTAATTGCAATTCATCTGATCACTCTTCATATCATTATGGAGTATATGCAAATTGCCATCATAAAAACTGAGGCAGCAGACTTTGTGAAAATTTATATTTGTGTCATTCTCAAAACGTTTGACCATGACTGTAGGATTTTAATTTGATCACCCAGGAAATGTAAAACTTGTAGTGTATTTGAGGTTTCAAAAGGCTTCTGACGTTTGTAATTTCCACTTTGAGATTTTAGACTTGATTTTCCCTCACGAAAAATATATCAACACCTGCATAAAATGACTATTCATTATATTTATAACAATTCACATTTAGCAAAATGGCTTAAATGAAGATTTTACACCTGTATTGAGCAGTTGACAGCTACTGTTCAGTGTCATCATGTCCTTTTGATTATAGACTGGACCTTTATTCCATGTTCTGTATGTATAGAACACAGTACATCAACCACTTGTAAATTAAAGATGTCTACATAATTATATTATGTCTTTAGAGAGTTTGGTTTTCCAATTATTTAGCGCTCAACACTAATGAACACATTTCTTAACAATATTTGATGGAAAACATACATTTATTTTCTCAATTATAAATGATGGTACATAAAACAAATTAATCTATATGAGCATATTCAATCCGTATCTCGGAAATTCAGCGTTACAGCGTGATTTAAATTTAAAGGCAATGTTCCCGCATTAGGGGAGACTGCATTCACCGTAAACGCTGAAAATGTCTGCTTAATCGGGAATAACCTTTAAATGTCTACCCGCGATCTGTAACGCTTCAGTGATACAGATTGAATAGAGCCCTAAAATTGTTTATTTGATACAATAAAATGTTGTTAGAGAAGTGTCTGTTTTACTGTTAAAAAAAACGTATTCACTGTATAAATTACTCTTAATACAGTAAGAACCACCAATAGCAGGCCTTAATACAGTAAGAACCACCAATAGCAGGCCTTAATACAGTAAGAACCACCAATAGCAGGCCTTAATACAGTAAGAACCACCAATAGCAGGCCTTAATACAGTAAGAACCACCAATAGCAGGCCTTAATACAGTAAGAACCACCAATAGCAGGCCTTATTACAGTAAGAACCACCAATAGCAGGCCTTAATACAGTAAGAACCACCACTAGCAGGCCTTAATACAGTAAGAACCACCACTAGCAGGCCTTATACAGTAAGAACCACCAATAGCAGGCCTTAATACAGTAAGAACCACCAATAGCAGGCCTTAATACAGTAAGAACCACCAATAGCAGGCCTTAATACAGTAAGAACCACCAATAGCAGGCCTTAATACAGTAATAACCACCAATAGCAGGCCTTAATACAGTAAGAACCACCAATAGCAGGCCTTAATACAGTAAGAACCACCAATAGCAGGCCTTAATACAGTAAGAACCACCAATAGCAGGCCTTATTACAGTAAGAACCACCAATAGCAGGCCCTTATTACAGTAAGAACCACCAATAGCAGGCCTTTATTACAGTAAGAACCACCATAGCAGGCCTTATTACAGTAAGAACCACCCAATAGCAGGCCTTAATACAGTAAGAACCACCCAATAGCAGGCCTTATTACAGTAAGAACCACCATAGCAGGCCTTAATACAGTAAGAACCACCAATAGCAGGCCTTAATACAGTAAGAACCACCAATAGCAGGCCTTAATACAGTAAGAACCACCAATAGCAGGCCTTATTACAGTAAGAACCACCAATAGCAGGCCTTAATACAGTAAGAACCACCACTAGCAGGCCTTATTACAGTAAGAACCACCACTAGCAGGCCTTATTACAGTAAGAACCACCACTAGCAGGCCTTAATACAGTAAGAACCACCACTAGCAGGCCTTATTACAGTAAGAACCACCAATAGCAGGCCTTAATACAGTAAGAACCACCAATAACAGGCCAACAAGGTGTGCGTCCACACTGGCACCCTATTCCCTTTAAAGTGCACTACTTTTGACCAGGACCCATAAGGCTCAGGTCAAAAGTAGTGCACTATAAAGAGAATAGGGTGGGGGCCATTTGGGACACACCCAACACAGCCCTGACATTAGTGTTGCATCACTGACTGTGTTGCGTAAGGTTGACTTGTAATGCAACCCTAAAATAGACCATTCTGCTTGTCAATTATTCAATAGATGTAGAGCTGTGAGCATAAAAACACATCAATATTTCAAAACGTGACTGGTTTTCACCAATGTATTTCATAATACCACTGTAGACCTGTTCAGTCTTCCTCCCGAGAGTTTTATGCCCTCTTACCGGACGACCAGTGAACAGGACTCTGCTGAAGGATTGGCCTGATATCTCAGCCTGTCCCCAGATCTGTAGTGCTTCAAACCAACTCCTCTGACTATCACTGTCTGTCGTGGCTTTGATGTACAGTGTCCATATCAGGACGGCCTCAGAATCACAACATTCAAGATACAAAACGTGCACAGTATGTTAGTCCTGGGCTAATGATCCGGGAGAATGGCTACTAACATACAATATATTCAGTATAGTTCACACTTCAAATTCTTTGGGCAGCATGTGAAGAATCAGAAGAAGAATCAGATGAAGACTTAGATGAAGAATCAGATGAAGAATCAGATGAAGAATCAGATGAAGAATCAGATGAAGCTTTAGATGAAGAATCAGATGAAGAATCAGATGAAGAATCAGATGAAGAATCAGATGAAGAATCAGATGAAGAATCAGATGAAGAATCAGATGAAGCTTTAGATGAAGAATCAGATGAAGAATCAGATGAAGCTTTAGATGAAGAATCAGATGAAGAATCAGATGAAGCTTTAGATGAAGAATCAGATGAAGAATCACTCCTTGTTTTTACATTTCATGTGAATATTAATGGGACATCAGAATCTCCTCAGTGGTACGGTAGAATATAAAGCAGTAGAACCTCTTTATCTTGTTGTATCAACAAGAACAGTCAGAACATATAGTATCTCCAGCATTTTACTACCCTCAAACATTGCCCATACCACATTTAACATACATGTTACCCATGTTACACATGCTACAAACATGTTCTTTGTTCAGTTTCTTCATCAAATGTTTTCAATGTGAATTACAAGCAAAGCACTGTAAAAAAACATATTTGGTCATTAGCAAATAACATGACCAGCATGTTTTTGCAATCCTCATTAAATTACCATGGTTTCCATATGGTTTCCATAGGCATCATACTACACGAGATGCCTCTCTACTGTTTCGTATCATTAGAAGGTTAGAACAGTTCGTCTTCACCGGTCGGCAGCTCCTTCGTCACGTTCTGATCCAAGATTCCTGAGAGGGGAAAGCAATGGAATTTAAAATGTGATTGAGCTACAGGGGACTGGAAGAAGAACCATGTCTGTATCTGTTTATTTCCCTACTACCTCCTCAAGCTTTATGGAGATGAAAGAGAGACACTCCCTACGTCCCAAATGGCACCCCTGTTTTCATAAGGTCAAAAGTAGTGCACTACGTAGGGACTAGGGTGCCATTTGGGATGCACTAATCGAATATTTATAAGGCCATGACAAGACCCCAAGAGGCTTAATTGATTAAACCAACCCTGTCACGGGTGGTGTAGTCACACCCTGTCACGGGTGGTGTAGTCACACCCTGTCACGGGTGGTGTAGTCACACCCTGTCACGGGTGGGCAATCACACCCTGTCACGGGTGGTGTCGTCACACCCTGTCACGGGTTGTGTCGTCACACCCTGCAGGGGTGGCGTAGTACACCCTGTCCGGGTGGTGTCATCACACCTGTCAGGTGTGTAGTCCACCCTGCCAGGGTGGTGTAGTCACACCCTGTCAGGTGGTGTAGTCACCCCTGTCACGGGTGGGCAATCACACCCTGTCACGGGTGGTGTCGTCCCACCCTGTCACGGGTGGTGTAGTCACACCCTGCCAGGGGTGGCGTAGTCACAACCTGCCAGGGGTGGCGTAGTCACACCCTGTCACGGGTGGTGTTGGTGTTCTAGCCAAGCGGCGATAGTCCACCCTCGCCAGCCCTGACTGGCAAGGTAAGATTGCCCACCCCCTGAGCAATAACAAGGTGTTGACAGAAGTCTGTCACATTACCGTTGGAGCCGCTCTCCTTCCATTTGAACTTGTTGTCTTCTGTGTGTCGTGTCCAGGTGGATCTGAAGGTGACCAGTTCTGAGGTGATGTGAGCCAAGCTCCACTGAAGTCCTCTGGAGCTCTCCTTCCACAGATTACTAGAGGGAGGGAGACAACAGCTGGTCGTCAGCAGACCTGGGTTCTAATGTTTGTTTTTCATCTCCAAATACTTTTTAGTGTTTGATTGAGCCGAGGTTACCTATGTGGATTGCATGGGTCAGGTGAGTCTGGGTTGTCTTCCACCAGGGGAATGACTATCTTCTCAGCCATGTCAGTCAGCAGGGAGAACGTAGGGTCCACTATGAAGTCTATGAAACCTGCAAGAGAACATGGAGTCTTATAAGGACAGCTTAGTACGTTACATCCAACACATATATATATATATATACCTCAGTAATGAATGGATCAGTAATCAGTCATGAATGGATCAGTAATTAGTCATAAATGGATCAGTAATCAGTCATGAATGTATCAATAATCAGTCATAAATGGGTCAGTTACAAGCAATGAATGGATTAGTAATCAGCCATGAATGGATCAGTAATATGTAAATGTAAATCAGTAAACAGTCATGAATGGATCAGTAATCAGTCATGAATGGCTCAGTAATCAGTCATGAATAATAATAATATGCCTATTAACATCTAAAGTCATGAGTAATTAATTATTTAGTAAGTGAATGAATTAATGATATTGTAAAGGCATTTTCAATGACCTATCTGTGACTCCGCGACTAGGGTGCTGTTCCGATCACACAGTGGAGAGAAGGGAAGACCTAGCTCTGCCTCTCTGTCACCCTCAGGAAGACAGAAAAAGAGAGAACACATTTTAATGGGCTTTCTAAGACAATCAATAACAATGAGCAAGATAATCCAGGAATAGTCATAAAACGAACCCCAAACCCGAACCGACAACGTACACAAGACGACCCAGTACCATCGCAGTACAGAAGACGACCCAGTACCGTTGCAGTACACAAGACGACCCAGGACCGTCGCAGTACACAAGACGATCCAGGACCGTCGCAGTACACAAGACGACCCAGGACCGTCGCAGTACAGAAGACGACCCAGGACCGTCGCAGTACACAAGACGACCCAGGACCGTCGCAGTACACAAGACGACCCAGGACCGTCGCAGTACACAAGACGACCCAGGACCGTCGCAGTACACAAGACGACCCAGTACCGTCGCAGTACACAAGACGACCCAGGACCGTCGCAGTACAGAAGACGACCCAGGACCGTCGCAGTACACAAGACGACCCAGGACCGTCGCAGTACACAAGACGACCCAGGACCGTCGCAGTACACAAGACGACCCAGTACCGTCGCAGTACACAAGACGACCCAGGACCGTCGCAGTACACAAGACGACCCAGGACCGTCGCAGTACACAAGACGACCCAGGACCGTCGGAAAACCCTGGCCCTAGTTGTAAGTTCCTCCAGGGGTCATACCTGTCTGAAGAACTCATCCATGAGGGCTTTGGTCCAGCGAGAGTGTAGACCCCAGGGCTTGGACGGGTGACTGATGTCTGCAGTGTGCAGTAGTAAGGACAGCGCTTTGGGTTTGTTTATGCTGTTAATCACAGGAAACAAACAACCAAGAGTGACTGCTAGATATGGAGCAAGCTTCTTTGCATTGGAGTCAATGGGCGAGTTACACGCACTCATTACATTTAGTTTACTTTAAGTGCTCTTCATTCCCATAGGGCGGCGCACAATTGGCCCACCGTCGTCCGGGTTTGGCCCAGGGTGGGCCTTCATTGTAAATAAAAATGTGTTCTTAACTGACTTGCCTAGTTAAATAAAGGTTAAATAAAAATAAATAATAATAAATAAATAAAAAAGTAGTAACAGGAATAAAATCCATCAATATATCTAAAACAATTGTCTAATAGAATCATATTCAATACATTGATCTCTAACACTATCATACTCGGTTGTGTCACAATGTGCTACCTAGTACTGTCATGTGACCTGAGTAAAGCAGCACCTACCTTTCCTGCTGCTGCAGACACCCCTTCATGGCTTTGACCTGGACGAGGTGAGATGACATGTCTGTAGCCAACACCATCTCTATCACCAGCGCTCGCAGCTCCCTGTCACGCACACGCACACGCACGTACACACACACACACACGCATCAACACACACACACACACATACAAACACGCACGTACACACACACACACGCATCAACACACACACACATACAAACACGCACACAGACACGCACACATGCACACGCACACGCACACACACAGGATTCAGAGGAGGGGCAGTGTGGGAGGGGGGAGAGGAGCGAGCACAGGATTCAGAGGAGGGGCAGTGTGGGAGGGGGGAGAGGAGCGAGCACAGCGGAATGGGGTGTCATTTGGGACGCAGAGACGTTCTGCATTTTGAATCCAAAAGATAATCCCACGGGCCGTAACCTTTCCAGACTGTCCTGATGGGTTTCCCTGTTCCCATGGTAACCTAGATTTGTGCTGCTAAGAGCAGAGCTGTTGTTCCATTTGCTTGTGTCTGTCTGTCTGTCTGTCAGTCCGTCCATCTGTCTGTCTGTCTGTCTGTCTGTCTGTCTGTCTGTCTGTCTGTCTGTCTGTCTGTCTGTCTGTCTGTCTGTCTGTCTGTCTGTCTGTCTGTCTGTCTGTCTGTCTGTCTGTCTGTCTGTCTGTCAGTCCATCCGTCCGTCCGTCTGTCTGTCTGTCTGTCTTACCACCTCCACCTTGCAAAACAATAATTTTGCAATAACAATAATAATGTTCACAAGTCAATGAGGCATGTACTGAACTGTACTGAGGCATGTACTGAACTGTACTGAGGCATGTACTGAGTCATGTACTGTAACGTCTGACCAACACAGTGCTGCAACAGGCTATTATATATTTTTTAAGATGATTGATTGACCAATCTGTGTTAAAAAGTGGATACAAAAACATCAAATAAAACTGTGTAAAAGGTGGTAAATTAGATAAGTTAGAGGGTAGTAATACTAAATGTAAGAATACATAACAAAGTTATCTAATTTGATATCACTCTTCTGTTGCTGAGGAATTTCTGCTAGCTGAGGCATGTCATCTGTTGTTCTGTATCCACCTTTAATCTGATGATGTTGACGGTCCTAATTAGTCGGAACTTCCTGATGTGGTGTCTCTGGTCTATATGAGATAAGAAAAACCAAAAACCTGACAGTGTAAACAATCATAGTTTATTAGATAGCCTTCAGCTGTCCTACAATGGTTGGTTCTAATTTTCTACTTTCCTAGCTTCTAGCATTGATCTAGCTGATTGCCATGTCCTACTGTTGTCCTACCTTGTCCTGGCTGGTTGGACCTTGTCCATAAGTGTCCTAGCCTTGTCCTGGCTGTGGCTGTCTTAGCCTGGTACCAAGACCTGGTCTCAATAAGCCTGGTCTAGCCTTGGTCCTGGCCTGGTCCTACTTGTCCTAGCTGGTCTAGCCTGGTCGTAGCCTGGCCTAGCCTTGATCAACTGGTCTGGCCTTGGTCATAGCGGCCTAGCCTTGATCTACTGGTCCTGGCCTTGTCCTAGCCTGGTCCTAGCCTGGTCATCCTTGTCCTAGCTGTCCTAGCCTGGCCTAGCCTGGACACTGGCTTGTCCTAGCCTGGTCTAGAGCCTGGTCCTGGCTTGTCCTAGCCTGGTCCTAGCCTGGTCTGGCCTGTCCTGGCCTGGTCCTAGCCTGTCTAGCCTGGTCCTAGCCTGTCCTGGCTTGTCCTACTGGTCCTGCCTGCCTGGCCTGTCCTAGCCTGTCCTGGCCTTGTCCTAGCCTGGTCCTGGCCTGGTCCTGGCCTGGTCCTAGCCTTGTCCTAGCCTGGTCCTAGCCTGGTCCTGCCTTGGTCCTAGCCTGGTCCTGCCTTGTCCTAGCCTGTCCTAGCCTGGTCCTGCTTGTCCTAGCCTGTCCTAGCCTGGTCCTGGCCTGGTCCTGCCTGGTCCTAGCCTGTCCTGCCTGGTCCTGGCCTTGTCCTAGCCTGGTCCTAGCCTGGTCCTGGCCTTGTCCTAGCCTGGTCCTACCTGGTCCTGCCTGGTCCTAGCCTGGTCCTGGCCTTGTCCTGCCTGGTCCTGCCTTGTCCTAGCCTGTCCTAGCCTGTCCTAGCCTGTCCTAGCCTGGTCCTAGCCTGGTCTAGCCTGGTCTGGCTTGTCCTAGCCTGGTCCTAGCCTGTCCTGGCCTTGTCCTAGGCCTTGTCCTAGCCTGGTCCTGGCCTTGTCCTAGCCTGGTCCTAGCCTGGTCCTAGCCTGGTCCTGGCCTTGTCCTAGCCTGGTCCTAGCCTGGTCCTGGCCTTGTCCTAGCCTTGTCCTAGCCTGGTCCTAGCCTGGTCCTGGCCTTGTCCTAGCCTGGTCCTAGCCTGGTCCTGGCCTGGTCCTAGCCTGTCCTAGCCTGGTCCTGGCCTGGTCCTGGCCTGGTCCTAGCCTGGTCCTGGCCTGGTCCTAGCCTGTCCTAGCCTGGTCCTAGGCCTGGTCCTAGCCTGGTCCTGGTCCTGCCTGTCCTCGCCTGGTCTAGCCTGGTCCTGGCCTGTCCTAGCCTTGTCCTAGCCTGGATCCTGGGCCTGGTCCTGGCCTGGTTCCTAGCCTGTCCTGGCCTGGTCCTGGCCTTGTCCCTAGCCTTGTCCTAGCCTTTCCTAGCCTGGTCCTAGCCTGTTCTGGCCTGTCCTAGCCTGGTCCATAGCCTGGTCCCTGGCCTTGTCCTAGCCTTTCCTAGCCTGGTCCTGGCCTGGTCCTGGCCTGGTCCTAGCCTGGTCCTAGCCTGGTCCTAGCCTGGTTCTAGCCTGGTCCTAGCCTGGTCCTAGCCTGGTCCTAGTACAATAATCTGTATGTGCTTTGGATAAATCATCTGACTGCTGTTGTCATGCCTTTAACCCTAACCCTACAGATCTGGGACCAGGCTATAGTTTGTCCTTTGTCTGTCTTACAGAAACGTGTATGGCATGACAATGATAGTGGGAGGACGTGGCTTAAGCACACACCACCCAGGCTAATAGTTAGGGACATCCAGCATCATTGGGTGGTAGTGACTGTTTGGTAATACAGTGGTGTTCGTGCTCATGAGAGAAGAGGACAGATGGTTATAAAGGACTCAGGAGAAAAGAACAGGGAGAATTCATTGAGACATGTTCCTTATCAAGCCCTCTGTCTAAAGTCATTTGCATACGTGTTTGTTAAGCACTTCAGAAATGGAAAATAAAAACCGATATCAGAGCAACACATTGAGGTTCCCTCAGGGCTAAATACTGCACTATAGGAAAACTAAATGGATAAACAGATATCGGAGCAACACATTGAGGTTCCCTCAGGGCTAAATGCTGCACTATAGGAAAACTAAAGCCAGGGCATAGAAAGGTTACTTTTTTAAGACTGTGCAGCCAACAGTTTAGTATGTGTTTTGGCATGAAGGCATTCAAATCTGCATCAGTATAACGTTTGAAGAAAATTAACACAATGCATCTTTAAGTAATTTACCATCATAACAACATGATGAAGCAATGCAATGCTATTAAATAATACTTATGGAGGTGTAAAAGATGGTGTGTGTGTGTGTGTGTGTGTGTGTGTGTGTGTGTGTGTGTGTGTGTGTGTGTGTGTGTGTGTGTGAACGTATGTACAGTAGGGTGTTTTATTTTTACTCCACACACACACACACACACACACACACACACACACACACACACACACACACACACACACACACACACACACACACACACACACACACACACACACACACACACACACAAGAGCACACACACACACGAGCACACACGCACACACACGAGAACACACACGCACACACACACACACACACACACACACAATCTATCTCACACGCACTCTCTCTCTCTCTCTCTCTCTCTCTCTCTCTCTCTCTCTCTCTCTCTCTCTCTCTCTCTCTCTCTCTCTCTCTCTCTCTCTCTCTCTCACACACTCACACCTTTAAACAAATGTTTTAAATAATATGCCTATTAACATCTAAAAACTGAATAAAACTATGTCTATAATGTCCCAGTTAAAACAAATAAACCAGTCAATTCAGCGTCATGAGAAGAACAATTAGGTCAGTTCACAGAATTGTTTTTAACAAAATTGGACATTCCTTTCTAATGGCTTTACTTGGTTGTAGCTCAGTTGGTAGAGCATGGCGCTTGCAACGCCAGGGTTGTGGGTTCGTTTCCCACGGGGGGCCAGTATGAAAAATGTTTGCACTCACTAACTGTAAGTCGCTCTGGATAAGAGCGTCTGCTAAAAAATGACTTTAAAAAAATGAGCTGGGTGTTTCATCATTACATGTCAAATGTTACTCTGTCTAAATTATAAACAGTAGATCTGAACAGAGTGCTTGCCAAGGAGGAGGTGTTCTCTGAATGAATAGGACTTTCTGTCATTCTGTGATACATCACAAGACGGTACGGAGGTTAGTCTTTGTAGTGATAGTTTATTAGGTTTATGGATTTTTCTTGGCCCTGGTCTTACGAACCAGACGTCCTGCTGAGTTTCTCTTCAGTTTAGCCTATTACTGCTCTACATCTTCAGCTGACAGGTATAATGCATCGTTATGTGGTTATAATGCATTGTAAGGCTTGTCTGTATGAAGCATGATTTACCCCTTATAATATGTTCTTTTCATCTCATAATGATCCTAACTAAATAGCAGGATGCATTTTACATGAGCATGCATTTTGTAGGAGAACTGCATGCTCATAACTTTGTTAGAAATGTTCACGCTATTTTGCTGATGGCATCAGGCCCTCATGTTTTGCTCCCAAAATAGAGTTACTCTGTGTGCCAGGAGATAGAGTTCTTAGGTCCCTCTGTGTCTCTATGTGGAAAATCTACTGCTAAAAATAATGCCTTCCCTCCATAAGATATGTTTACTTAAGAAGGAGTATGCAGGAGCTGTAAGCAGTTGAGCAGATCTCAAACTAACTCAATCTCTCTCTCTCTCTCTCTCTCTCTCTCTCTCTCTCTCTCTCTCTCTCTCTCTCTCTCTCTCTCTCTCTCTCTCTCTCTCTCTCTCTCTCTCTCTTTCTCTCTCTCTCTCTCTGTTTCTCACAAGTTCTTTCTCACACACTTTCTCTAGTTCTCCCTCTCTCCCTCTCCCTCTCAATCTCACTCTCTCGCTCTCCCTCTCCTTTTCCCACTCTTTAATGCATTTGTGAAAACCTTAGTAATCTAATAGAATCAGAGAATAAAAACATAAAGCGCATGATTGTGTAATCCTTGGCGTAGTTGGCAGGATAACAATTGCATGGTTTTTGCCTTACTTGGTGTTAATGTGGATTCGATTTCACTCTCTCTCCCACTCACTCTGAAATCAAATGCATTTTTGAACACCTCAATAATTCTTACTTTACTTTATCTTACTTTGTGTGAATGTGGAAGTTGTTGGTAGTTCCAGTGTGTTCGTAGTCATGGATGGCCGCAGCAAACAGTGACGCCAGAACCTCCAGTTCAGTCAACCAGTGCTGCGTGTGAGATCCACACAGATACCCTTGTTATAAACATTAGATACAGTGAGGGGAAAAAGGTATTTGATCCCCTGCTGATTTTGTACGTTTGCCCACTGACAATGACATGATCAGTCTATAATTTTAATGGTAGGTTTATTTGAACAGTGAGAGACAGAATAACAACAACAAAAAATCCAGAAAAACGCATGTCAATAATGTTATGAATTGATTTGCATTTTAATGAGGGAAATAAGTATTTGACCCCTCTGCAGAACATGATTTAGTACTTGGTGGCAAAACCCTTGTTGGCAATCACAGAGGTCAGACGTTTCTTGTAGTTGGCCACCAGGTTTCCACACATCTCAGGAGGGATTTTGTCCCACTCCTCTTTGCAGATCTTCTCCAAGTCATTAAGGTTTCCAGGCTGACGTTTGGCAACTCGAACCTTCAGCTCCCTCCATAGATTTTCTATGGGATTAAGGTCTGGAGACTGGCTAGGCCACTCCAGGACCTTAATGTGCTTCCTCTTGAGCCACTCCTTTGTTGCCTTGGTCGTGTGTTTTGGGTCATTGTCATGCTGGAATACCCATCCACGACCCATTTTCAATGCCCTGGCTGAGGGAAGGAGGTTCTCACCCAAGATTTGATGGTACATCGCCCCGTCCATCGTCCCTTTGATGCGGTGAAGTTGTCCTGTCCCCTTAGCAGAAAAACACCCCCAAAGCATAATGTTTCCACCTCCATGTTTGACGGTGGGGATGGTGTTCTTGGGGTCATAGGCAGCATTCCTCCTCCACCAAACATGGCGAGTTGAGTTGATGTTCGATTTTGGTCTCATCTGACCACAACACTTTCACACAGTTCTCCTCTGAATCATTCAGATGTTCATTGGCAAACTTCAGACGGGCCTGTATATGTGCTTTCTTGAGCAGGGGGACCTTGCGGGCGCTGCAGGATTTCAGTCCTTCACGGCGTAGTGTGTTACCAATTGTTTTCTTGGTGACTATGGTCACAGCTGCCTTGAGATCATTGACAAGATCCTCCCGTGTAGTTCTGGGCTGATTCCTCACCATTCTCATGATCATTGCAACTCCACGAGGTGAGATCTTGCATGGAGCCCCAGGTCGAGGGAGATTGACAGTTATTTTGTGTTTCTTCCATTTGCGAATAATCACATCAACTGTTGTCATCTTCTCACCAAGCTGCTTGGCGATGGTCTTGTAGCCCATTCCAGCCTTGTGTAGGTCTACAATCTTGTCCCTGACATCCTTGGAGAGCTCTTTGGTCTTGGCCATGGTGGAGAGTTTGGAATCTGATTGATTGATTGCTTCTGTGGACAGGTGTCTTTTATACAGGTAACAAGCTGAGATTAGGAGCACTCCCTTTAAGAGTGTGCTCCTAATCTCAGCTCATTACCTGTATAAAAGACACCTGGGAGCCAGAAATCTTTCTGATTGAGAGGGGGTCAAATACTTATTTCCCTCATTAAAATGCAAATCAATTTATAACATTTTTGACATGCGTTTTTTTTTGTTATTCTGTCTCTCACTGTTCAAATAAACCTACCATTAAAATTATAGACTGATCATGTCTTTGTCAGTGGGCAAACATACAAAATCAGCAGGGGATCAAATACCTTTTTCCCCTCATTGTATTCTCAGTGGCCAGTTTATTAGGTTCACTAAAATGTTTTTCTCCAACAGACAGTGAGTCACGTGGCCGTGGCTTGCTATATAAAGCAGGCAGACCGGCATCGCGGCATTCAGGTACTGTTGGATTGAACATTAGAATGGGAAACATGAGTGGCACGCGATCACCAACACTGGACAATTGAGGAGTGGAAAAACATCGCCTGGTCCGAATCCCGGTTCCTGTTGTGTCATGCTGATGGCAGAGTCAGGATTTGACGTAAGCAGCATGAGTCCATGGCCCCATCCTGCCTGGTGTCAACGGTACAGGCTGGTGGCTGGTGGTGTAATGGTGTGGGGAATGTTTTCCTGCCACACGTTAGGTGTTCTGGAGGCATAGGGGGGGGGGGGGGGGGGGTCCAACTAGATGTGTGTACCTAATAAAGTGGCCACTGAGTGTACATAACACACATATCCAAATTATTTTACAGTAACCAGTGCTGGAGGCAAGACCAACACACATACCGTTGTTATAAACATATCTATTTCATATTTATACTCATTTACGTTGGCTTACAGTAAATAAGTCATTTACATTGGCTTACAGTAAATAAGTCATTTACATTGGCTTACAGTAAATAAGTCATTTACATTGGCTTACAGTAAATAAGTCCTTTACATTGGCTTACAGTAAATAAGTCATTTACATTGGCTTACAGTAAATAAGTCATTTACATTGGCTTACAGTAAATACGTCATTTACATTGGCTTACAGTAAATAAGTCATTGCTTCCTTCAAGTCCGTCTGCTACAGCTAGTACCCTGAATTTTCCCCCAACCACGTCACCTGACCTGGCAGGCCAACTCTGGGCCTGTAGGACGGGTCAGGAAATGCCCCTTTCCCCGAACTATGGCAAACGAATACAACATGACAGGGATGACCTTGTTGTAAAACTGAACGAAGAGCTGTACTGTACCACGAGTCCTGTGCGGAGGAGCAGACAGTGTAGGGTTTGTGTGACGTCGGCTGCGTGGACACTGCTGTGGTACGGGTTGCTGTGTTTACTATAGCCTTTCTCCAGCTTCTCCAAGAAGGTCATCAGACAGGAGATGGGGATCTGTGATACCACACAATGACATGTAGAGTTCACATGGAGTTCGTCCCATTGTTTTTGTGCACACTGTATCATCAACCTCTCAATGTCATCTTTGTGTCGGAATCTACCCCCCAAGGGTAATACTGTGGCTTGCGAAAGTATTCACCCCTCCTTGGCATTTTTCCTATTTTGTTGCCTTACAACCTGGAATTAAAATGGATTTCTTGGGGGGTTTGTATCATTTGATTTACACAACATGCCTACCACTTTGAAGATACAAAATATTTTTTATTGTGAAAATAAACAAGAAATGAGACAAAAAACAGAAAACTTGAGCGTGCATAACTATTCACCACCCCCAAAGTCAAAACTTTGTAGAGCCACCTTTTGCAGCAATTACAGCTGCAAGTCTCTTGGGGTACGTCTCTATAAGCTTGGCACATCTAGCCACTGGGATTTTCGCCCATTCTTCAAGGCAAAACTAAAATGTAAATGTAAATGCAAAACTGCTCCAGCTCCTTCAAGTTGGATGGGTTCCGCTGGTGTACAGCAATCTTTAAGTCATATCACAGATTCTCAATTGGATTGAGGTCTGGGCTTTGACTAGGCCATTCCAAGACATTTAAATGTTTCGCCTTAAACCACTCAAGTGTTGCTTTAGCAGTATGCTTAGGGTCATTGTCCTGCTGGAAGGTGAACCGCCGTCCCAGTCTCAAATCTCTGGAAGACTGAAACAGGTTTCCCTCAAGAATTTCCCTGTATTTAGCGTCATCCATCATTCCTTCAATTCTGACCAGTTTCCCAGTCCCTGCCGATGAAAAACATCCCCACAGCATGATGCTGCCACCACCATGCTTCACTGTGTGGATGGTGTTCTCGGGGTGATAAGAGGTGTTGGGTTTGCGCCAGACATAGCATTTTCCTTGATGGCCAAAAAGCTCAATTCTAGACTAATCTGACCAGAGTACCTTCTTCCATATGTTTGGGAAGTCTCCCACATGCCTTTTGGCGAACACCAAACGTGTTTGCTTATTTTTTTCTTGAAGCAATATCTTTTTTCTGGCCACTCTTCCGTAATGCCCAGCTCTGTGGAGTGTATGGCTTAAAGTGGTCCTATGGACAGATTCTCCAATCTCCGCAGTGGAGCTTTGCAGCTCCTTCAGGGTTATCTTTGGTCTCTTTGTTGCCTCTCTGATTAATGCCCTCCTTGCCTGGTCCGTGAGTTTTGGTGGGCAGCCCTCTCTTGGCAGGTTTGTTGTGGTGCCATATTCCATTTTTTAATAATGGATTTAATGGTGCTCCGTGGGATGTTCAAAGTTTCAGATACTTTTTTATAACCCAACCCTAATCTGTACTTCTCCACAACTTTGTCATAGCAAAGTGGGTGAATACATATGCACGCACCACTTTTCCGTTATTTATTTATTCAAATTTTTTGAAACAAGTAATTTTTTTCATTTCACTTCACCATTTTGGACTATTTTGTGTATGTCCATTACATGAAATCCAAATAAAAATCCATTTAAATTACAGGTTGTGATGCAACAAAATAGGAAAAACGCCAAGGGGGATGAATACTTTTGCAAGGCACTGTACTTATGAAAAACGTTTACCAACTAGAATAGGTCAATTTAGTTAGGAAAATGTGTGCGCTTACTTCAGCAGTCAACAGAAAGTGTTTTTTGGGCAGTGAGAGAAGTTTGAATTGTTAAAGGCTAATGTAGAATTAAAGCTGTATGTACAGAAACTGAAGGAGTTAGTTATGGTAAACTAGTCAAATATAGTAAGTGCAAAATGATATGTGGAGACCTTGAATCTGCTGTTGAGTTCGTATCGTGTGACCAGCTCGAAGAACATGGTCTGTAGTGCGTGGTCATGGCTGGCAGTGTTCAGGGCAAACACATCAAAGTTCCACCGGTCAATGTCCTAATGATGGAGAGGATAGAGACGAATAGAGTCTGATCTGATGACCACAGCACATTGAGTTTTTCAAGAATTAGAGACACAGTCTGATATAAAAAGGATAGCTTTTTTTTAATTTATTTTTATTTTGTACCTTTATTTAACTAGGCAAGTCAATTAAGAACACATTCTTATTTACAATGACGGCCTACCAAGAGGCAAAAGGCCTCCTGCGGGGACGGGGGCTGGGATTAAAAATAAAAATGTAGTAAGCTCATATTGTAGTAAAGGAGATGTTCTTGTCCACTTGACCTGACCAGGACAAACTAGTCATATGGTCAGGGAAACTCCTGGCTCTGCTCCCTATGTGGTACCCAGTTAAAGGCTGTAGAACGATAACAGATCATACGTTCTTACCCTGAGACAGTGAACTACTACTGCAGGTTGGTCAGGCAACGTTCTTACCCTGAGACAGTGAACTACTACTGCAGGTTGGTCAGGCAACGTTCTTACCCTGAGACAGTGAACTACTACTGCAGGTTGGTCAGGCAACGTTCTTACCCTGAGACAGTGATCTACTACTGCAGGTTGGTCAGGCAACGTTCTTACCCTGAGACAGTGAACTACTACTGCAGGTTGGTCAGGCAACGTTCTTACCCTGAGACAGTGAACTACTACTGCAGGTTGGTCAGGCAACGTTCTTACCCTGAGACAGTGAACTACTACTGCAGGTTGGTCAGGCAACGTTCTTACCCTGAGACAGTGAACTACTACTGCAGGTTGGTCAGGCAACGTTCTTACCCTGAGACAGTGAACTACTACTGCAGGTTGGTCAGGCAACGTTCTTACCCTGAGACAGTGAACTACTACTGCAGGTTGGTCAGGCAACATTCTTACCCTGAGACAGTGAACTACTACTGCAGGTTGGTCAGGCAACGTTCTTACCCTGAGACAGCTAACTGCTACTGCAGGTTGGTCAGGCAACGTTCTTACCCTGAGACAGTGAACTACTACTGCAGGTTGGTCAGGCAACGTTCTTACCCTGAGACAGTAAACTACTACTGCAGGTTGGTCAGGCAACGTTCTTACCCTGAGACAGCTAACTACTACTGCAGGTTGGTCAGGCAACGTTCTTACCCTGAGACAGTGAACTACTACTGCAGGTTTGTCAGGCAACGTTCTTACCCTGAGACAGTGAACTACTACTGCAGGTTGGTCAGGCAACGTTCTTACCCTGAGACAGTGATCTACTACTGCAGGTCGGTCAGGCAACGTTCTTACCCTGAGACAGTGAACTACTGCTGCAGGTTGGTCAGGCAACGTTCTTACCCTGAGACAGTGATCTACTACTGCAGGTTGGTCAGGCAACGTTCTTACCCTGAGACAGTGAACTACTGCTGCAGGTTGGTCAGGCAACGTTCTTACCCTGAGACAGCTAATTACTACTGCAGGTTGGTCAGGCAACGTTCTTACCCTGAGACAGTGAACTACTACTGCAGGTTGGTCAGGGATGGCAGCAGTGTATGCCCTCCGGAACATCCTGGAACAACAGCACATGGAATGTTTGGCATTGGACAATCTCAGTAGTGAATCTGTAATGTCCTTGTTTGTAACAGAATGTGGATCATGCTAATGAACCTAGATGAACTTATCCTGGACTTATGACACACACTTTACAAACCCCATGCACAACATTATTTATAAGGAGGTTTTTTTTTTATGTTTAATTTCTTTCTCACATTAATGAGGAGGACCATCCTCCTCTACCTCACTGGGTGGGCCTCCTTTACATGTAAAGTACCAGTCAAACGTTGGGAGACACTTACACGTTCAAGGGTTTTTCTTTATTTTGGCTATTTTCTACATTGTAGAATAATAGTGAAGACATCAAAACTATGAAATAACACATATGGAATCATGTAGTTACCAAAAAAAGTGTTAAACAAATCAAAATACATTTTAGATGTTAGATTCTTCAAAGTAACCACCCTTTGCCTTGATGACAGCTTTGCACATTCTTGGCATTCTGTCAACCAGCTTCATGAGGAATGCTTTTCCAACAGTCTTGAAGGAGTTCCCACATATGCTGAGCACTTGTTGGCTGCTTTTCCTTCACTCTGCGGTCCAACTCATCCCAAACCATGTCAATTGGGTTGAGATCGGGTGATTGTGGAGGCCAGGTCATCTGATGCAGCACTCCATCACTCTTCTTCTTGGTCGAATAGCCCTTACACAGCCTGGAGGTGTGTTGGGTCATTGTCCTGTTGAAAAACAAATGATAGTCCCACTAAGCTCAAACCAGATGGGATGGTGTAGAATGCTATGGTAGCCATGCTGGTTAAATATGTGTGCCTTGAATTCTAAATAAATCACAGACAGTGTTACCAGCACCATCACACCTCCTCTTCCATGCTTCACGGTGGGTACCACACATGCTGAGATCATCCATTCACCTACTTTGCGTCTCACAATGACACGGCGACTCATCAGACCAAAGGACAGATTTCTACCGGTCTAATGTCCATTGCTCGTGTTTCTTGGCCCAAGCAAGTCTCTTCTTATTATTGGTGTCCTTTAGTAGTGGTTTCTTTGCAGCAATTCGACCATGAAGGCCTGATTCAAGCAGTCTCCTCTGAACATTTATTTGGGCTGCAATATGAGGTGCAGTTAACTCTAATGAACTTATCCTCTGCAGCAGAGGTAACTCTGGGTCTTCCTTTCCTGTGGCGGTCCTCATGAGAGCCAGTTTCATCATAGCAGTTGATGGTTTTTGCGACTGCACTTGAAGAAACTTTCAAAGTTCTCGAACTGTTCCGCATTGACTGACCTTCATGTCTTAAAGTAATGATGGACTGTTGTTTCTCTTTGCTTATTTGAGCTGTTCTTGCCATAATATGAACTTGGTCTTTTACCATATAGGGCTATCTTCTGTATACCACCCCTACCTTGTCACAACACAACTGATTGGCTCAAATGCAGTAAGAAGGAAAGAAATTCCACAAATTAACTTTTAACCTCTTAAGGATCCATTTTGTAAATGTATTTGCCTAAAATGACATACCCTAATCTAACTGCCTGTAGCTCAGGACCTGAAGCAAGGATATGCATATTATTGATACCATTGGAAAGGAAACACTTTGACGTTTGTGGAAATGTGAAATTAATGTAGGAGAATATAACACATTAGTTCTGGTAAAAGATATATATATATATATATATTGTTTTCTCATCTTAGAAATGCAAGAGAAAGGCCACAATATAATATTGCAGTTTAGGCGCATTTTAGATTTTGGCCACTAGATGGCAGCAGTGTATGTACAAAGTGTCAGATTGATCCAGTGAAGCATTGCAATACTGGACTATTTTGTATCAAGTCTTCCCAAATCTGCCGAATTGGTCAATTGATACATTTTCAAGTACATAACTATAGAGAACATACAAAAATGATATGGTAATACAAAATGTAAGTTCACACACTCCCAGGAATGTCATACATGATGGATCATTAGCTTCTACACTAACTTTCACACATCTAGATGGCCGGGCAGGGTGGGTGGGGAGCCAGAGACAGCAGGGGTTCAAACTGTAGAACCCAGTTCCTACATTTGAGTATAAAAAATGATTTGATCAAACAAAACTATGCTACATTTTATCTCTGGGACCCTTAGGATGACAAATCAGAGCAAGATTACTTTAGTACATTATTTACCTTCAGAGGTGAATGTATCAAACCAGTTGTCGTGATAAGTATTTTGTTGTTGTGCACTCTCCTCAAACAATAGCATGGTATTTTTGCACTGTAATAGCTACTGTAAATTGGACAGTGCAGTTAGATTAACAATAATGTAAGCTTTCTGCCCATATAAGACATGTCTATCTCCTGCAAAGTTTGCTGTTACTTTCAACAGTCAGGCTAATTACATTAGAGTACGTTAGCTCAACCGTCCCGTATACGGGACACCGATCCCGTAGAGGTTGACAAGGCACACCAGTTAATTGAAATGCATTCCAGGTGACTCCCTCATGAAGCTGGTTGAGAGAATGCCAAGAATGTGCAAAGCTGTCATCATGGCAAAGGGTGGCTACTTTGAAGAATCTCAAATATAAAATCGATTTTGATTTGTTTAACACTTTTTTTGGTTACTACATGATTCCATATGTGTTATTTCATAGTTTTGATGTCTTCACTATTATTCTACAATGTAGGAAATAGTAAAAATAAAGAAAAACCCTGGAATGAGTATGTGTGTCCAAATGAATGTCCTCATTGAGGATAATAACATTTTCCATCTACCTCTCGACAAATATCCCAGCCTGCACTGCGTGGACGATGCTGCGGAACTTTGGTTTGTCGTCGGAGCGGCGGGCAGGGCGGCGGGCCCTCTGAGTGAAGGTTGAAGTCAGCCAATCAGTAACCTCCGTGGGCACGCCATCAGAGTGCAGCTTCTGGAGGTCATCCTCTGCGTCCAGACCCTGTCTGAGAGGGGAGAGAGAGAGAGCAAATCAGATCCTGTCTGAGAGGGGAGAGAGAGAGAGCAAATCAGACCCTGTCTGAGAGGGGAGTGAGAGAGAGCAAATCAGATCCTGTCTTAGAGGGGAGAGAGAGAGAGCAAATCAGAACCTGTCTGAGAGGGGAGAGAGAGAACAAATCAGATCCTGTCTGAGAGGGGAGAGAGAGAACAAATCAGATCCTGTCTGAGAGGGGAGAGAGAGAACAAATCAGATCCTGTCTGAGAGGGGAGAGAGAGAGCAAATCAGACCCTGTCTGAGAGGGGAGAGAGAGAACAAATCAGATCCTGTCTTAGAGGGGAGAGAGAGAACAAATCAGATCCTGTCTGAGAGGGGAGAGAGAGAACAAATCAGATCCTGTCTGAGAGTGGAGAGAGAGAGCAAATCAGACCCTGTCTGAGAGGGGAGAGAGAGAACAAATCAGATCCTGTCTGAGAGGGGAGAGAGAGAACAAATCAGATCCTGTCTGAGAGGGGAGAGAGAGAACAAATCAGATCCTGTCTGAGAGGGGAGAGAGAGAACAAATCAGATCCTGTCTGAGAGGAGAGAGAGAGAACAAATCAGACCCTGTCTGAGAGGGGAGAGAGAGAGCAAATCAGATCCTGTCTGTGAGGGGAGAGAGAGAGCAAATCAGACCCTGTCTGAGAGGGGAGAGACAGGGACAGGGACACAGTTTTATTTTGTTTCCCCTTTCTCTAAGCGGCACAGCATTCATACTCTGTTCGATGAAAAATGTAAGTAGATGTAAACTTGTTTTAGCATTACAGCCTTCATCAGGGTGCTTTGGGGTCATAGCACTGGAGACATGTTTGCCTTCGAACACCTCATGGCTTAGGGAAATACTAAATATAGACAAGTCTACACTTGTATAAAAAAACATGGGGCAGTGGATAGGCCTGTGAATATGCCTAATAATGTGGAGCATTGTTTTCAGAGAGGAAACAAGGATATGCTGATATAGTTAGCGTGTGTGTATGTGTTTCTGGGCTTAAGCAGGCAGTAGGGGAGAACAAACATTTTCATAATCAAGAAAATGAACATTCCAAATATAACAAGAACAATAAAAACAACGACAAGGTACAATTACAATACTACAATTACAATACTACAATTACAATACTACAATTACAGTACTACAATTACAATACTACAATTACAATACTACAATTACAAAACTATAATTTAAACAAATAAACCATTACAATCAATGGAAACAACTGCAATCCTCAATGAATTCATTTAACACCGGAGTCCTAAACGGTACTAGCAGCACCAGCGAATCAAGATGCAAGGAATTTGGCAGGTTATCCCAACAATGGGAGTCACTAAACTAAAGTAGGATTTACCTAAATTGGTCGAGACCACAAGGACCTCAAGAGGTAAGCAACGCTGCGAGCCGGTTTGGTAGCTCATTCTTTTATACTTTAGCAAACGAAGTCAGGTAAGTTGGAAGTTTGTGTAGTAGCGCTTACAGCATCATGCAGTATAATCACACTAAAGTTCGTACTGTACCTGGTCCCATCAATGTAAATGGCTTCCAGTAAGGATGCTGTGTAGTCCAAGTTCTTCTTCAGATCTTCAAAGTCCACATGTTTCTCCTCCAGTTGCTTGACCATACACCTCAGCCTGGAAAGAGAGTCCCACTTTGAACAAACAACTTCTAAAGTCTCCATAAGCACTTTTATGCTTGCTATAGGCCATATGAAGGATTTTGGTCTCATTAACAATAAGCTTTTAGAGAAAATAAAATCTTGCACACTGCACTTGCTTTGCATCAAGTTAGTATCAGACCTTCTGTACTAGTAGTTATATATTCTGTAGTATTTTTTAAGCCTTAAAAGTTATGTGTGGGAAGTCATTTTGGTAATGAATAACCTTGGTTACTGTCATAACACAACAGCATCATCAGCGACAGCACTGGGGTCAAAACACTGTCAGGTGTGTGATGGCAGCAATTAATAAGCAATTTCAACACATATTTGTATGTTATGATTCAATGTTTACGAGCTGGCAACTCAGCACAGATGTCCAGTAAATGCTTTGGCAACAGGTTGAAATGTCTGGGAAACTGGGAGAGAGGGAAAGAGAGCGAGAGAGAGAGAGAGAGAGCGAGAGAGAGAGAGAGAGAGAGAGAGAGAGAGAGAGAGAGAGAGAGAGAGAGAGAGAGAGAGAGAGAGAGAGAGGAGAGAGAGACCAAGAAAAAGGGAAAGATGGAGGGAGAGAGAGCGAGATAATGAAAAAATAGAAAGAATTTGGAAGAATTTGTAATACCATAGCGTAACATGTGGAGAGGACCAGTGGCAAGAGGGCATCATTAGGCCCACATTTTCCATGACAGAGGTAAACTGCCCAAACTTCCCATCATTGGCTTGTACTGCCACCGCATTCTCTTAAAATGGCATGCATGCAGAATTAGATATATCAATTCAAAGGGTTGAATCGGCTGATTGAGTGCTGATAGAACCTTGATAGAATGCTAATGGAACTCTGATAGAATGCTGATAGAACCCTGATAGAATGCTGATGGAACCCTGATAGAATGCTGATAGAACCCTGATATAATGCTGATGGAACCCTGATAGAATGCTGATAGAACCTTGATAGAATGCTGATAGAACCCTGATAGAATGCTGACAGAACCCTGATAGAATGCTGGTGGAACCCTGATCGAATACTGATAGAACCCTGATAGAATCCTGACAGAACACTCATAGAATGCTGATGGAACCCTGATAGAATGCTGATAGAACCCTGATAGAATGCTGATAGAACCCTGATAGAATGCTGATAGAACCCTGATAGAATGCTGATGGAACCCTGATAGAATGCTGATAGAACCCTGGTAGAATGCTGATAGAACCCTGATAGAATGCTAATGGAACGCTGATAGAATGCTGATGGAACCCTGATAGAATGCTGATGGAACCCTGATAGAATGCTAATGGAACGCTGATATAATGCTGATGGAACCCTGATAGAATGCTGATAGAACCCTGGTAGAATGCTGATAGAACCCTGATAGAATGCTAATGGAACGCTGATAGAATGCTGATGGAACCCTGATAGAATGCTGATGGAACCCTGATAGAATGCTGATAGAACCCTGGTAGAATGCTGATAGAACCCTGATAGAATGCTGATGGAACGCTCATAGAATGCTGATAGAACCCTTGTAGAATATTGACAGAACGCTCATAGAATGCTGAGAGAACCCTGATAGAATGCTGATGGAACCCTGATAGAATGCTGATAGAACCCTGATAGAATGCTGATAGAACCCTGGTAGAATGTTGACAGAACGCTCATAGAATGCTGATAGAACCCTGATAGAATGCTGATGGAACCCTAATAGAATGCTGATAGAACCCTGATAGAATGCTGATAGAACCCTGATAGAATGCTGATTCTGAAGCTTTTCTCTGGTGCTTTACTAGTTGTTGCTTCACGCGGACTCCTGACGCGTCAAGTGTTGCACCACATTTCTGAATACAGCTGCTATACATTATGGTATACATTTGCTATTTCAAGAGCATAAAAAAAACTCTATAGTGCACTGGATCAAACACAACACAGCCCCGGCTAAAACTACAATCCCCCCAGGGCATAATACTTTCACAGGAAATGAAATAGACAGAAATCAGCAACACTAACTCACATACTATTGCTCTGAGCTCATATTCCAACCTTAGAACATAAAATACCCCAGTGTAAGCTACACTGCACTTCAAGGGTTCAAAAACCGCCACAGACATTTGAAAATGGATTTAAAGGATAGTGATAATCCATTTCTCATAAAACAGGATTTATGAGGTTCAAGTCCTTGTGGTTAACCATTGAGCTGCCTGCTCATAATACTTTGTAGTTATATATGTTTATGAGCAGCTATTAACACCTACGTCCTGCATTATAATGCATTATGCACAGCTCATAAGGAAGTATAGATATACTTAGAATGCATTATGAAGAGGTTAGTCAAAGTTTGACCACAATCACTTTATTTTTAACCACAGTTGCACTGTTAGTTAACAAATGAAGACGGTGCCAACTCGGTGCGAGTGACATTAGTTTTTAAAGTGTTTATCACACATTGGCGAGTGGGTGATGAAAGCTGTCGAGTCATAAAAATAGCAGGAGTTGGAACGCTGTCGCAGAGGGCACCACACTTCATTGTGAATTTAGAGTACCGGTAATCTGTTTGATAACTGCTTTGTTGTTGTTCAAAAGAGGAAGGAAAACACTCAAGGAATGTTTAATGCACCCTCTTCCAGTTTCATCTGTAGTGTTCAGGGACTTAATGTCTAGTTGTTACACTAAAACCAACCACATTTTGTCCAACCATCATTGTAAAAGCGCTTTCAGTGTCTGGAAAAGTGCTATATAGTTTAAATACAATCAATTATGAATTATCATTATCAAAATGATTAGGGACTGTCTGTGCAATACACCTTTGACTAAATTAGATCAGTATTCCATGGAAATATTCCATGGATTTAAGCACATACCAGTGTGTTAACCCCATGACCCCTCTTGCCATTGGCTAACACCTCACCTGCCTCACCCTCCTACAGCTACGGTACTGATACTGTAGAACCCTCCTACGTACCCTGATAGTGTAGTACTGCCTGCAAGATGCTGTTATGGTGCTGTTATGGTGCTGTTATGGTGCTGTTATGGTGCTGTTATGGTGCTTTATGAGCTGTTTATACTGTATGTGCTGTTATGGATGCTGTTTATGATGCTGTTATGTGCTGTTATGGTGCTGTTATGATGGTGTTATGATGCTGTTATGATGCTGTTATGATGCTGTTATTACATTGTTATGGTGCTGTTATGATGCTGTTATGATGCGGTTATGGTGCTGTTATTACATTGTTATGGTGCTGTTATGATGCTGTTATGATGCTGTTATGGTGCTGTTATGATGGTGTTTATGACTGTTATGATGCGTTATACATTGTTATGTGCTGGTTATGATGCTGCTTATGATGTGTTATGGTGCTGTTATGGTCTGTTATGGTGTTTTATGCTGTATAGTGTTATGGTGCTGTTATGATGCTGTTATGGTGCTGTTTGATGCGTGCTGTTATGGTCTGTTATGATGCTGTTATGATGGTTTTGCTGTTATGCGTATGGCTGTTATGACTGTTTATGGTGCTGTTATGATGCTGTATGATGCTGTTATGGTGCTGTTATGGTGCTGTTTGATGGTTATGTGTGTTATGGCGTGTTATGGTGCTGTTATGATGCGTTATGTGCTGTTATGTGCTGTTATGATGCTGTTGATGTGTTATGTGCTGTTATGATGGTGTTATGGTGCTGTTATGGTGCTGTTATGATGCTGTTATGATGCTGTTATGGTGTGTTATGTGCTGTTATGATGCTGTTATGATGGTGTTATGGTGCTGTTATGATGCTGTTATGATGCTGTTATGTGTGCTGTTATGGTGCTGTTATGATGCTGTTATGGTGCTGTTTATGCTGTTATGGTGCTGTTATGATGCTGTTATGATGTGTTATGGCACTGTTATGATGCTGTTATGATGCTGATATGGTGATGTTATGGTGCTGTTATGACTGACACAAGTGTGGACACTAACATCTAGGCCAACAGAGAGAGCTGATAGTGTTAGTGTATGGCCGCTGGCCAAGGATCAGGATGCCGATGATGGTCCACAGACACTCAGACGCAAGCACTTAACTCGATGTTTAATCAACATTGAGTACGGAGCAGTACGGAGCACTATAGAGAAGTGTGGCTCCAAACTAAACACTTCACATCAACCCTGGCTTTTCACCCAAGAGCATAAATACCAACTGTAAAAATAAAA